ATCACACTAATTAACATTCACACAGTTACAGGAGCAATTTTGGGGTTAAGTGTCTTGCTCAAGGACACATTGACATGCGACTGGCGGAGCCGGAAATCAAACCGGCTCCTCTGATTGAAGGACGACCCCCTGCTCTCCACTTAGCCACAGTCGCCCCAAATTTGTTCAGTGGACAAATACAAGCGATCAAATATTAAGGTAAACTGCTGTGGATAAAACATATGCCTGGGTCCAGACCTTTGAATCGGCCCACTTGTCTGATATAACGGTAATAGTGCAACAGTGCTTCTAGCGTGACGGATGCTCGTTTATGACCTGTGTGCGGCTCTCAAGGATGGTCACACTCATGTACTCCGTAAGATTTGAATAGGTACTGTTACAACCAAGGCTGCAACATAAGGGAGACAAGACGAGTTAAAAGTAATAAATATACATTTATTTAAAGAACATATAACTAAACTAATAAACAAATAAGCAGCCGTGTCATCCAAAGAAGAGGGGGAGCCTTTATAGCTGGGACCAAACGAGGCTCAGGTGTTGCTCATCAGTGGCCGATTAACATCCTGAAAGACAAACAGACAGCAAAGAGGACACAGACCCCTAGTGGAAGGGAGGCGTCGTCACAGTGCCCAGTAGTGACAACATGAGTTCTCCTTAAATTCCTCTCAAATGCCAGATTGTTGTTCAGTCGGGCATATACGGTACCCCATGATAATGGGACTGTTTCTTCCTTCATCTAAGAAGGAAAAAACAACAACTATAACCAAAACTATCTACACGGTATGCATTTTTTGGTAATTTAGATAAACTGACCCTTTATGGATGTTTCCCCAAGAGAGACGACTGAATGTTAAATTAATTATTTTCTCAAGAAATCACAAGAGAACTACTTAAAAAAAAAAATACTTTTCAAGATACTTTATGCCGCTCACCACAGAGCCGTCTGTAGTGATTTATTTCAGTGACAGCAGCATTGTCTCTTTGTGTCTCTGCTTTCTTTCATTTTGATTTCCTCTGTTCTGTTCAGGTGATGGAGTTCCCTCAGCATTCCCAGCAGCTGCTGTCAGCTCTGCGTTCCCAGCGCCAGCGGGGCTTCCTCTGTGACTGCTCCATCGTGGTGGGCTCATCCCGGTTCCTGGCTCACAGGGCTGTTCTGGCTTCCTGCTCGCCTTTCTTCCACATGTTCTACTCAGACTCTCCAGGGGTCCTCGCTGGAAACGGCACCGGCAGCAGCTCCGTCACACTCGACAGCGACATTGTCACGTCCGCTGCGTTTGCCTTGCTCTTGGACTTTGTCTACGAAGGCGTGCTGCAGCTGGGCGAGTCTCCGCCAGTGGAGGACATATTGGCGGCTGCAAGCTTCCTGCACATGAACGAAGTGGTGAGAGTCTGCAAGAGACGGCTGCAGAGACGAGGGCCTCTCGCTGAGGCCGACAGCACTCGCTCTGAAGAGGGCGCTGGTGCGAGGAGGGCAACGGAGACGGGGAGGGAGGGTGGGGGTGACGGTGCCGCTGAGCCTGCGGTGGCCATGGCAGGTGATCTCATGAATCCAGTCGCCATCGCAGCACCATTCCCGTCAGTATCCATCATGACGGGGAAAAGTCAGTTGGGGTCTGTGAAGTCTGAACGGAGGACAGGTGGGGGGTCGTCAGAAGCACGACTTCATACTCCTCTGAGCCCTGACCTCGCTGATACCACGCAGCCAGGCATGGACGCCGCTCCTCTGCCTCCAGGCGGAGAGCGGGTGCCGGGCGTCATCACAGGCCGGTCGGCCCCGGTTGCAGGAGGTCATGCCAGGCTGGGGACTGGAGGTCATGGAGAGGTGTCGGCACTCTGCAGCCCTTGCAGCACCACTGAGACATACAGGTACGGGTTTGATTTGTATTTCTAGACTGTGATTTGTTGTTACTAAGAAGCTGTTTAGAGTATATCTTTCTTTCTTTCCCTAGTTACTGCAGTAACCAGCAGCCCTCCTCCTCTTCTTCCTCCCTGGTGCCAGTGAGTCAGGCTAGTGGTCGGTCAGTGGTTGCTTATTCCCAGTCAGGATCCGCCCTCTCCCCTAGCCCACAGCAGGACGTACCCCGACTGACACGTCATGACTCTGTCAGGAATCCCTTCGACGCTGGCCACGGAGGGACAAAAGGTGCAGGACAACAGACGGTCACGTTATTCCAAGCATCAGCACGAACCTCACAAAACCCAACGCACTCAGTGCCACAGATCCGAATACAGAACGCCGTGTCGCTCCAATGCCAAAGCTTGGACTTCCACTCTGCTCCTCAGACCCAAACCCTTAAGGGGCCTGAGGGGAATATGACAGCTTCGCCCACCACTAGAATTGAAAGATCTCACCCTCCTATGGGCAGAGTGAGGACAGAGTACAATGACGGAGAGAATTTGAAAGTCAAAGTGGAGGCCATTGTTATATCTGACGAAGAGCTGGAGGAGGAGAAAGAGGAAAGCAGAGAGAGAGAATCAGTGATGGAAGTAGACGATGAGTTTGAAGAAGAAGAGGAGCTGCACAGTCCTCAGTTTCTCTCTTCCCACCCACAGGGCATCTTACAAATGACCTCCCATTCAAATGACTACTCCTTCCCCCTCTCTCCCTCCTCTTCGTCCTCCGGTGCCGGCCCTTCCTCCCAGGACACTTCCTCCTTCGCCCACATTCCTCCGTCCACAGCTCAGCAGCATTCAGACCCTCCATCCTACTTCCAGGACTTCCAGGACTCAATGGGGAACTTTGTAGAGGACGTCCCCACGTGTGGAGTCTGCGGAAAGACTTTCTCGTGCACATATACACTAAGGCGCCACGCCATTGTGCACACGCGTGAACGTCCTTATGAGTGCCGCTACTGCTACCGGAGCTACACGCAATCAGGCGACCTGTACAGACACATACGGAAAGCTCACGACCACACGCTGCCCGCCAAACGCAGCAAGGCAGACATGGAGCCCTCCCTGCCACCACAACCACCACCTCTTAGCTAACACACACACACACACACACACTGTTGTATTTCTATACTCATGCACACATAATTCTTCATTTAAAATTACAAACAGACTACAACATGCAGAGATGAGCTGGTATTAAACAGCCATCTCAGTTGTTTTCAAAAGTGCCTTAACGGCGCACCATTTAATAATATTCGTCTCAAACATGACCCATATGAGATGAATGGTTGTGATTGGCCCAGAAGCATCTGCCAGAGCAAAAAAAAAACACGAGAGCTCGCAGATGTCTTTTTCCCCATGAGTGCAGAAATAGCAGAATTCACACACACACACACACACTCACAGAGTAAACACCAGCGAAGTGGCAGTGATACCACTAGTCATTCATCATACTAACACGCTTAATGTTCATGTGTGACTGTCTCCTTAGAACCCTCAAACTTATCGGATTTTTTGCTATTTTGCTACTCTTCAAAAATGTAGCAGAGATTTTACAATTTAGGTTTGTAATTTTTTAATACCTTCATCATTATTCATAAGTATAAAAATGATTTAAAACCTTTGTTGTACGACGATGTTCAAAAGAGTTTCAACAAGATATGTGACATCCTACACTTACTGTGTTATATTAACTCAAAATGCAAGTAAGGGAACGCTACTGTGTTCAGGATTTTATTAGTTACACAAATTGTAATTCGTATGACTGCCTTTTCAGTGTGTGACCAGCAAAATTTGACAGATTGTAAATGAAGTAGCGTTGTACTGTCTAGTGTTTTGTTTACAGGATGAAACTATCAAAGCAGATACCTGCACCAATTCTACAATTAGAATCAGAGTGTGCCATTTTATAACTTGTAATACAAGCTTTTTCTTGCATCAGTTTTAATGAAGCCACTTCATCAACAGCAGATGGATACAGTTTATTAAAGAGAATATTAACTGTGCCAAAAGGTCTTTTCTCTGTCTCCTGTAATCACTACAGTAGTAATTACTGCAGTAAGAAGTATTTGATTAGGAATAATTCCTAAGTGAGGTAGCTGACCCAGAAATGTCAGTGGCAGCCAAATAAACCGATTCATTTTATATGACCACCAATTTATACATTTCCAGGATTTACATGATTGTACTGTAAATTTGGTCAGATGATTTTAGCACTGTGGCTATCTTGTTGTTCTTATAATCTTGCCACATATTTCATTGACTTTGTTTAGCATTCTCAATCAGGGTCAATTCAAAGTAGTGAGGAATGGAAAACAGGTTTGATTGTTCAGCTACTCATGGTACGTGGTAGTATTGCAGTGGAAGTGAGAATGGAGTAAGTCAGGTTGGGGATCCACCCTTTGTGTGTTTGGCTTTTCTTATTGCCCATGTGACCTTACCCCCTGTAGTGTTTTTCCTGTAATGTGACGAACAGTAAGAGCACACACACAGTAATTATATTTTGTATACTCAGAAGGGACGGTTGAGTCAGTGATCATTTCATCCTCATGTCATGGTGTGCAAAATCTAAATGTTACTTTGTGAATAAACACTGTGTTCAAAAGAAACAAAGTGAACATGTTTCGATGAATCACATAATCGCACAGGTTGGTCAGTTTTTTTATTTCACTACAAAAGAACATACAAAAATATAAAACATCACGTCTATTACTCAGTAATTGTAACACAGTAACACTGAAGTCATTAGCATTTGTCTGACTGTAGCCAGTATTCAGCAAAATGTACGTTTCACTCGTGACCTCTGAGCAGAACGTTTTCTCTCTCCTCAGTCTTCTACTGTACCGTGGATCTGTGAAGAGACAACATATCATTGTCCACCTACAGATCTGTCTGTGTCCTTGTATTTCTGACCAAACTATTTTCTAATAAAATATTGTTGTCAATGAAGCTGCTTTTGACAGTATTTGTTAAACTGAAGAGAAACTATAAAAACATTGTTCCAACAGCACATGTACAACCCACACATCTATTTTTAAATGAATAATATTGTATCTATAAATCATACAGATTATTACACGTGGACTAGGTTGTGACAGGAAGACACGCTGAATTAAACTGTTATTAGGCTGTAGAATTAATTTTAACAACACTTATGTGACAGAAAATTATTTTACTTAAAATAATCGTTAGTAAATCGGTCTACTGAAGTAGCCTTTGTTGATCTCACAACAAACAAACAGTAGGCCAGGAAACCACAATTTTACTTAAACATGGAACCCCTCTGGGACATGGAATGAAGAAAAATAGAGCGTTAGTTTTGTCTTTGATCAAACATCCCTTTTTAAGTTTGCTACCAAACCAAAGAACTCACCGCCTCAGCTAACTCGGGCCAATCCATCGCCATCACGACTGTGTCGTCAGAGTTTGGAGGCGTCTCCAGGTTCCAGTAGGTCAGCTTGTCAAACACAGAGGAGACCCTCAAGGTCCTGTCCTGCACACACACACACACACACACACACACACACACACACACACACACACAC